ATGTGGGGTTTTTTCCCCCCAAAGTGGAGTACCTTGTATGTTTCGGTATTGAATGTCATCAGGTTTTTATCCGCCCATTTTCTGAGCCTGTCAAGGTTGGCCTGGATCACCAGCCTATCCTCAGGTGTGGATGCTCTACCCCAAAGTTTGGTGTCATTGGCAAACCTGGCTAGTCCATTTCTGACACCAATGTCTACATTGTTAATAAAGATGTTAAAGACTATAGGTCCAAAGACAGAGCCTGGGGGACACCACTGGTCACGGAGCACCACGATGTTTCTGTCGATTACCACTCTTTGGGTCTGACCTCGGAGCCAATTCCCCAGTCAGTGATGTAGCAGAGGCCACAGTTGGCCATTTTTTCCATGAGGAGATCATGGGACACCAGACCAAAGGCTTTTTTAAAGCCAAGATATATGACATCAATCTCTTCTCCTTTGTGCAGGTCATATGTCATCTGGTCATAGAAGGAAGTGAGATTGGTCAGGCAAGACCTACCCACAATAAACCCATGCTGGTTGTCCCTCAGGATGTTGCCACCAGCCAGTTTGTCAAGAATGGTCTCTCTGATAATTTTTTCCAAGATCTTCCCAGGGATAGAGGTCAGGTCGATAGGCCTGTAGTTCCCCAGATCTACTTTCCTCCCTTTCTTGAAGATAGGCATCACACTGGCCTTCTTGCAATCTTTGGGTACTATACCTGAGTGCCATGAGTTCTTGAAGATCCTTGCCGGAGGCTGAGCTATAATGCCTGCCAGCTCCTTAAGTACCCTGGGGTGCAAACTGCCCGGACCATCTGACTTGAAGGTGTCCAGCCTCTCAAGGTGCTCCTTCAGTCTATGATTTTTTATATCCAGTAGATTTATGAAGTGAAGTTCATAGGATCATCTAAAAAAGGTGTTGAAGTTCCATTTGAGGATTAGAACTGAGATCAGAGAGGGAGTGATTGTCTTGTGAGAAGTGTGCACCCACAGGTAATCGGATATTTTTGTCTTTGATAGATTTTTGGACTGCGTTCATTCTGGTACAGAGATGTAGGTGTTGCACAAATTACTAATGATCTCAAATGATGAGCAAGCCCTTATGAGGGGGATAAGGCAAAATGCCTTGTTTATTATTAAAATATTCAAAAGAGCTCTCGCCCATACATACACACTTATTCTCAATCACTCTGCAGATGGTATACTTACCAAAATCCATTGCTCACTACAATAACTAGGTGGCCAGTAGGCCTGTGCAAATAGGGAAGTATTCAATTCGGATGGGGATTCAGCTGATTCGAGGGACAGTAATTCAATTCGGTGATTCAAATCACTGCCCCAATTTGATTAGGCTAAATCTGAATCATAGATTCGGCGCCAATTCAGAGATTCAGATTGGCTGCAGAGAGGCAGGCACCTGAAGGTTTTCCTGCAGTTCCTCTGGCTGTGCCTGCCTCTCCCCAGTTGGGGAGAGTTGCAGGAGAAGCCCCCATGGCTGGCCTACCCAGCCCTAACCCCCACCCAGTCTCCAAGCACTTAAAAAAAGCCCCGCACTCACCAGTTACAGCAGTGGGGATAAGGGCCTCTGAGGGCTCGTGGCTGAGCCCCACTGCATAGTGCAGGGCAGTGGGGGGCAGCAGGGATCATCCCCCTCCTCCCTCCTGGCACCCGTGCGGCAGCTACCCCATGGCACGGGTGCAGCATGGCTCCGCACTGTCTGGGAGCTGGGGCTCAGCAGTACTGCGAGGCGGGGCAATCCCTGCTGCCCTGTGCTGCACAGAGGGACTCTGCCATGGGCTCTCAGAGGCCCCAATTACCACCGCCAGAGCCAATTAGTGTGGGACTTTTTCTTTTTTTTAAAGTGCCGGGATGCATGGGGCTGGCTGGGCGGGGGTGGGTGGAAAGCTATTAGGGGCAGGGTGTTCGGGGGGGAGAGAGATCAGGAAGCAGGAGCTGTGCATGGGGCTCTGCCACATGGCCCCAGAGCCCTCTCAGCCCCTGCTACAGCCAGCAAGTACAGGGCTTTTTTTCCTGATTCATAGACTACTGGGGTCAGACAGGGGGTGATTGGGGAACAGGAGCCGCATGGGGGGTGGAGAGCTCCATGGTTGGATATTATAGATCTGCCTGGGTTCCCTTGTTTGTGGATTTTGAGGAGCATGTAAAAAATCCCTCTGTTGGGTAGTGGCAGATCAAGGGAATTTGGTATCAGACCAGGACTTGAAAGACCTGATTTTTATACCAGTGTCTGGCCACAGATGGTCACTTCACCTCCCTCCATTGTCTGTGGGGACAATGACAGTGAACTCCCATTTAAAGCATTTTGGGATCTATACAGGGAAAGTGGTACATAGGATGTAAGTATTATTACTACCCAAACTGCAGAGGACATGATGTGACAAAGTGAGAAGAGAAGTGGTACATGTATATTTTCACTCTCACTAGTTTGATTATTCCTGCAGGTAGAATAAGTCATGTAGATTTTGCCAACATATTTGCATGATCACCACTGTTTAGGATTCAGGAGGGTATCCAAGGATGAGGTGAATTGGAGGGGAGACATAAAACGCTACACAGTAGTTCACACCATGCATTAGAAGAATTTGGGACTGTAGAAGGAACAGACAATTAAGATATTGAACAACTAGTAGTAAGGGTAAAGGCATGGAAAAGAGCATCTTCTCTAGAGTACTGGAGGACAGGCAAAACATGTGAATGTAACAGAGAATAATATGAGAGATGAAGGAAAATGTCAGATAGGGAGGGTAATATCATGAGAATGACAGACAAAGAAATTAATATGAAAATATTCACTCCGTATTCACTGAACAACTGAGTAATATTTCACAAAATAACCATTGGCCAAACTGCTGCAGATATGGTATTAGCTGTATATTAAGGACTGCTGACTAATGTATCTAAAGTGGCCAATACAACCTTAATGTAAAGACCCTTCTACTTTGTACCCTGTATATCAAGCATGGGCAATTATTTGGGCCTGAGGGCCACTTAGGGAGTTTTGGTGAGCTATTGTGGGTCATAGTTTCATAGCTGTTAGCATCGGAAGGGACCTCAATAGATCATCGAGTCCAACCCACTGCCCTAGGTAGGAAAGAGCGCTGGCGGTCACATGACCCCAGCCAGGTGCTTGTCCAGTCTCCTGGGTCACGTCAGCACTCTTCCCCCCTCCCCACCTCTCCTCCACAACAGCTCACCAAAACTTGCCAAATGTTTCTGCCCCATGCTCAGCCAGGTGGATAGGATGGAGCTGTAGGCAGGAAGAGAGTGGTATCCAGGAGCAGGATGGGCAGGTAGGGCCAGGGGTGGGATCAAGATCACTTGATGGTGATAGCATGGGGCCGGGGCCTGAGGCAGAGCTGTGACACTCCCCACATGACCCTGCAACAGGCACTGGTTCTGTGGCCAGGCGGGTGCAGGAAGTGGATCATGGCTCTGATCCAGCCCCATGCAGTCACCTCCCAGTGATTCTGGGGCCTGTATGGAGATTAGCTGGGACCTGCATAGGCAGAGTGTGGCTAGATGGATGGGATGGGGCCATGGGAGGGATGGGCTGGGGCTACAACTGGGATCTTGGGGTTGTGACAGCGTGGAACCATGATCCACTCCTTGCATGCCCCTGCCCACGGAGCTGGTGCCTGTTGCAGGAACGTGCATTGAGCAGATGGCAACTCTGTACTGGACCCAGCTCTGGACTGTCACCACCCCATGATCTTAATCCCAGCACCCACCTCACCCACCTGTCCTGCTCCCAGAAGCTGCTCTCCACCCACCTGCCCAGCCATGCACCCTACCTGCACAAGTCTCAGGCTGATCTCCATGGAGATCCCACCTGCCCATTCCATCCAGAGCCTCCAGTGGTGGGTATGGGGCAGAAGGACAAGAGTGTCTAGGCAGCAGTGCCAGGTCTGGTTGCAGCAGAGATTCGCAACTGGAAAAAGCTGCTGCTACAGGGGCCTGCCAGGAAGCAAGTCCACCTGTTGTGCTGCCCAAGCTCTGCTGCATGCCTGGGGGCAGCGGGACTGGCCATACATACCATGGCCTGGGCTGGTCTCCTGCACGTTGGCCGAGCGGGACCAAAGGACCTGCCGTGTGCCAGACCAAATCCCCTGGTGGGCCAGATTCAGCCTCCGGGCCATATTTTGCCCATCTCTGCGGTATATAATAATTTACAGTTGTTCAGAGCGAGTAAATGAAAAATACTTCCTAGCCAAAAAAGTAATGTAGCATTTTGTATCCACTTTGCACTGTTTCGAATATGAAAACTATACATAGTGAAGTTGTCAGAGATTTATACCCAAGAAGTAGAAAAATTCTCAATTAGACTTGATATGGTTTCAGTTAACAACAATATATCATTCATAAAGGAAGTAGCAAGTTTCCTTAACCGCATTTTATTTTTAAAAAGCGAATAATTAAACAATTTTAGTCTAATCATCCTAATTATTCTGATGATATAATAAAAAAAAAGTTAACCACTGAAAATTCAAATACTGGATGTAAGAGCTAAATAAAGGCCTACAGGAGGCTGATCTACACGGAGAAAATATAAAGCCATGCTTGTATAATTATATGGACACTTTTATTCCACACAGAATATAAATTCTGCATCAATACATCTTCCCATTTAGACAAATAAATAAAGGGAAAAATCTAGTAAAGTAATAGTATTGAATGAAAAGTAAGGTATGCTCCAGAAAATTACCAATTTAATGATTCTAAACAGTGCGTTTGTGACCTTTATGGTACACTGCATATGGAAAGAAAACAAATTATAACAGGAGTAATAAAATGTATTTTGTCTATCACATATTTACCAGAGTAGTAGTAGTACACACTTGTGCTAAATAATAATCCAGAAACTAGTCAAAACTAAACCTAATGCATGTATCCAGATTTAAGAAAAATGTTGATAGGAAAAACATGTTTATTATGCTTATTAATAACAGTTTAATACATGCTAAACACAGTTTAAAAATTACCATTGTCCATTTCTCCTTACCTAGGAGTTTTGCAATGATGTAAATGGCCTGTCCCCACAAAAAAAGCTTTCCATCCCGTCCACTGTTGCTAGGAAATCGTTTTTGACTACCAGGATTTTTCTTCTCTAATTCAACAAAGTCAGCTGGCACATAATAGTACCTAGGTACAACAGGATGTCCTGTGAAGTTTTAAAATACAGAGAATACATAAATACATGAAACTATTTTCCCTATAAAACTGAAGTGGTTTTAAAATGGAAAAAATATAATCTGATAACAATCTGATTTGAATTGTATGGCCATCAGAATTCAGTGTTATCTTTCCATGCTACAGTTCATGTAGAAAAACAAAGGGTATATTAAATGGTACTTTATGTCTGAACTTCATTTTCACTTTCTTCACTGAACAGATGTAACATCTACATATCAAGGACACACACACACACACAAAATACATTTTATACATTTGACAGAAGTGAACAAAATATTAAAACCAAGTCAAGACTGTAAGAATTTTTTTTTGTCTATTTCAGTGAAAAATCAAAATTGGACTCTTATGAGGTCAAAAATTCATTTGCAAGAGGCAAATGAAAAAAAATAAGAATAAAATGAGAGGTAAAATACTCTAATGACCCAGGAAATGGTTAAAATCAAAAACAAACTTTTAAAAACAGACATGACAAAAGGTTAGCAACACTGTAAACAACACAAGATTCTTCCCATAGAAGTGG